CATTAAAGAGGAAATTAAAGATTGATGATGAAAGGTAAAATAGTGAGAAATAGATAAGGGAGAGAGATAAGAGTTGCTTTGTATTTTGGGAAATCGTTTGTAGAAATCATTTGTGTGAGAGAGAGGGAGAGTAGATATGAAGAAAAGAGATAAGCTCGAGATTGAAGATTGGTTTTATGAGAAATTTCTTAGGGTTTAGGAGGGAGGGGGGGAAGAGAGAGAGAAAGAGAGGACTTTGAACGGTTATGGAAAAAATGGAGAAGTGGGATAGTTTGTCTCAAACTTTGTAATAAAGTGGAAATTGAGTCACTCTATATCAAACTCCAAAGTGATAAAGAGATATGATAGGCATGTATTTCCAAGGTAAATATAAAAATATTATATAAAGAGAGGTGTGTATTCCCAATGTGGACCACTATCTATTTGAATATATATAATATAACATATATCTCGGTCGGTTTAGTTTTGATAATTATTTTTTACATCAATCCGTTGACTGACCGTTAGATAACAAATTTATAGAATATGAAACCATTGTCGATCGTCTAGAGTGACAAAGCCGACCGTACGTGGAGCCTTAGTTTTATTCAGATTGGACGGATTCATCGGGCCAATCGGTTCTTTGTACACCCCTACTATCAAGAATAAAGATAAAGCCATAATTATAAGCAGTGAACATGTTATCACAATATACAGGTAACATCAAACAAAGTGAAACAGAGGATCATGATGGAACAGAGATACTATTCAGATCAATCAAGATTTGACCTCCATAAAATTACAATAATGTTGAATAACATAATAGAAGGTAGCTCTGATACCAATTGTGAGAATTAAAATAATTCAATAATAAATAAGAATACCTCATGTCATGATGTTCAAACCTTTGAATCTTGTTCTTGATTGATCAAGTCTTGAATGTATAAACAAAACACTCACAAAACACTTTCACAAAACCGTATGGAAAAGTGGAAGGAGCAGAGTTTTAATAAAACAACGTCTATGTTTTGATGGCTATCACAGGCATACATAGATAGGCTTGAACCCATGATCCAAGTGTAACTCCTCATAACTTCTCACCATTAAAAAAGTTGTAACTTCCTATAAAATCACTTTATAGGATAGTGGACATGATTTACGTTAGTTACCAATTTTATTGATTAAAATATATACAATAAATATATATTATTTATATAATAATATAAATAAATAAAACAAACATGTGGTATATTGGCCATTTTATGGATATGCTTACACTTTGTTCCCATTGTTGGTGCTATTTCTCTCTTTGCCAAAGGTTCTCTCTTTCTCTCTCCATAAACCCTAGGTTCTTATAAATGTATATATATATATATTTATAAACACATATTTGGCCCTAAATATTGGTACATAATTTTATGTTCTTATAAATAAATATATCTGTGTTTGCTTAAAAAATGCCACGACACAGAATTTTTAGTGACACTTTTGGGTGCCACTAAATCGAATTTATGTTGTAATGAAATTTATATTTTGTTTAAGACTTGTTTTGGGACAATCATGTAGTTTCGATATTCAGGCCAAGTCGGAGATAAAAAATCTTTTATTAGGTAGTGCAATCTCGGCTTGGTCTGAACACTACCCATCCCAACATGGCTGATCTACTCTATCCCTTGGTGTAATATATATATATATATATATATTGCCAGGGGAAAAGTTTGCAAAAGAAATTACAAACAAGAACTAGAATAAAAACATATGGTTTGAGAAGCCTTAGAAGGAACTGCTCCCATCCACATCTTGAGACCTTCCCCAGTGAGGGCCAATCTGGCTAGACAGTGAGCTGCAAAATTGCTATTGCACTTCACATGAGTAATATTTTAGTTTTGAAAAACAACCATACTTTCTCGAAGACAGTAAATCACCACTCCAATAATATAGAAGTCAACCTCTGCAGATCGGGTTGCATTAATAACTGTTAATGTATATTATTATATTATACTAATCTCTATCTCTATCTCTTTGTATCTTTATCTTCTTCTATACTTATCTAGGTTCCTTTTCAGCCTATATATACAGGCTTCTCCTATTGGATTCATTTATTCAATTCAATATAATACAGATACACAGTTTTTCTTTTTCTATCAATCATTCTAACATGGTATCAGAATGCCAAGTTCTACACTTATAGCCATTTTATTTTCTCTTTGTGCTTAGTCCCGTACACAGTGGCACTACAGCATTCATTCCATCACCCATACACTTTATTATCTCTATTCCAGCATTGCTTTATCGTTATTTTCACCCAAATTTTTTTACCTTACCACCAAACTGATCGGAATCTCCTCACAGTTCCAACGGCACCGACCACGTCACCAAAAACTCATCCACGCATCCTCACGCGCCGTTTTTGTGCACAGCTCGTCTTCACCTTTCACCGCCACTTTCACACGCACCTTCATGTGCCATTCAGTTGCTTGTTTACGTCATCACCTGATGTCAACCCTGCGCTCGCATGCGCCGTTCCTACTGCTGTGCACTGCGTATACGTCGTTCTGCTATTATACCCCCGCGTACGCCAATCTGCTGCTGTGCGCCGTTCGCCCTTTCTGTTATTGTGCGCCGTGCCTCAGCCGTGCTAACGTGAGTCGCGCCTCTGTTGACATCAGCTTCCCTTTTGCTAACGTCAGCCCTGCACCCTGTTTGGCCAAAATTCAATTTTTGGCTTGTTTCGCCTATTTTTTGCACCTTTTCTGATCATTTTGGTCTGGTTTCTAACTATTTTCGATGTTCCGGATTCACTGGTGCACTCTGTTTTATCCAGTTCCACTCCGCCGTCACTAGTTCTCCTTTGTGATTCATTATTTAATCACCTCATAGCTCATTCAGATAATTATCCTTAGCACGGTCGCTATTCTGGACCCTCCACAATATACAGCCGATATTAGTCTTCAGCACATCTTGTATCTATTACAATTGCCTTTGGTTCATCATTCGTTATTACCCCGTCACCACCCTACATTCTTCAGGACATTGAAGTTATTGTCAAAAAGGTTATTTCTACCTCTGGTACACCTTCTACTGCCCTCTCAGTTACTCCAGGTACATCTTCTTGGTATTTTGATTTTGCTTGTTGCAACCATATGACCTCCGACCCTACACTTTTCTCCTCTATTACATCTTCTTCTACGTTACCTGTTATTTACACTGTTGATGGCTCTCCAATGCATGTTAGTCATATAGGTCATATTTCCACCTCTACTATTTCTCTACCCCACACTTATCTGATCCCTAATCTTACACTTAATCTTATTTTAATTGGTCAACTTTGTGATCTTGGCCTTACTGTTCTCTTTTCTCCAACTGGTTGTGTTGTGCAGGATCCGAAGACGGGACAGACTCTTGGGATCGGTCGTAGACATGGCCGTCTGTATGAGCTTATCCACCTTCGCATTCCCTCCTCCAGTCCTTCCACTATCCAGACTGCTGCTCCTACTACTCCTAGTTCTCCTTTTGTCTTATGGCATTCTCGGTTAGGTCATGTTTCCTTTGGTCGTTTACGATCTCTAGTTTCTAGTGGTCAGTTAGGTCCTGTTCCAAATGATAAAGTAGATTGTCTATCTTGTCAACTAGCAAAACAATCTGCTTTACCATTTCCATCCAGTACCTCTATGTCCATGTAACTTTTGATCTCATACACTCTGATGTTTGGGGACCGGCACCTAATACCACTATGGGGGATCTAAATACTTTGTCATTTTTGTTGATGATTTCACTCGTTTTACCTAGTTATTTCTTATGAAGTCTTGCTCTGAGTTACCATAAATATACTATAATTTCTCACAAATGGTCAAAACTCAATTTTCTTCCACCATCAAAGTTTTCTGTGCTGATAATGCCCAAGAATACAAAGAAACAAATTTTTTGAGATTCCTTCATCAAAATGGCACACTTTCTCAGTATTGTTGTCCTGGTACCTCCTAACAAAATGGTCGTGTTGAGGGTAAACATCGTCATCTTTTAGATACTGTCCGTGCTCTTTTAATTTCCTCTCCTTGTCCGTGCTCTTTTCTTCTGGGGGAAGCCGCTCTCACAGCTGCCTATACTATCAATTGTGTTTCTTCTCATACCATCAACAATCATACCTCATATGAGCGCTTATATGGCCAACCTCCTGTCTATTGTTTGGATGTGCTTGTTTTGTCCTCCTTCCACCACATGAGCATTCCAAATTAGAACCTTGAGCCCGTCTGTGTTGTTTCTTGGGGTATGGGATTGAACATAAAGGCTATCATTGTTGGGATCCTATTTCTCAACGTCATCGTGTCTCTCGTCATGTGGTTTTTTGGGAAGATAAGATGTTCTCTTCTATATCTAAGTTTCAGTTATCCACTCCTCCCATTACATTATTCTTCACAAATCCCTCTCTATTGTTTGATGAGCTTGATACAGACACTACTTCTGCCTTGCTACTTCTGGCCCATCTTGAGGATCCTGCTCTATCTCTTGGTCCTGCTGATGTTTCACTCCTTGATCCTGCTCCTAGTCCTGCTATGCTGCCTCCGGCCCATCCTGAGGCTCCTTCTCTACCTCTTGGTTCTGCTTCTGAGGTACCTCTTCGTCATTCTACTCGAGCAACACAACCTCCTGTTTTTCTTCGTGATTTCATTATTGGTTCTACTACATTTTCTTCTCATGAACCTACTTCCTATCGAGAGTCTTGTTCTAATCCTCTTTGGAAGCAAGCTATAACTGATGAGCTACAGGCTTTTGATAAAACTCATACTTGGGATGTGGTTGATCTTCTTCCTGGCAAAAGTATTGTTAGTTGTAAATGGGTTTACAAGCTTAAAACGCATTCTAATGGTTCTATTGAGCATTACAAAGCTCGTCTTGTTGCCCGGGGGTTTACTAAAAAATATGGGATTGACTATGAAGAATCCTTTGCTCCTGTTGCCCGTTTGACTTTTGTTCGTAGCTTACTTGTTGTTGCTGCTGCTCGCTACTAGAAACTTTGTCAGATGGATATGAAGAATGCATTTCTCAATGGCGATCTCACTGAGGAAGTTTATATGTAACCTCCACCCGGTTCCTTCGTGCCGCCCTCCAAAGTCTGTAAACTTCCCCGTGCTTTATATGGTTTGAAACAAGCTCCCCGTGCCTGGTTCACCAAGTTTAGCTCCACCATTCATGATTTTGGATTCTCCTCCAGTGCCTATGATTCTGCCCTTTTTATTCGTAAGATAGAGCGTGGTACAATTCTTCTTCTTCTCTATGTAAATGATATGATCATCACTAGCGATGACACAGCAGGTATCTCTAATCTCAAACAGTTTCTCAGTTGCCAGTTTAAAATGAAGGATTTGGGTCTTCTCAGCTATTTTCTCGACTTGGAAATCTCTCTTGATTCGTCTGGTTACTCTCTCTCCCAAGCCAAATATACTTCTGAGCTCTTGGCTCATGTTGGTCTTACCGATTGCAAGACTGCCTCTACTCCCATTGATCCTCAGACTCGTCTCACACCTCTTGACAGTCACCTATTGTCTGATGCTACTTTATATCGTCAACTAGTTGGCAGTCTTGTCTATCTCATGATTACTCGTCCAAACATGGCTTATGCTGTTCACATTGTTAGTTAGTTTATGGTTGTTCCTCGCTCTCCGCACTATGATGCTCTAGTTCGCATTTTACGATATCTCAAAGGCATTATGTTTCATGGTCTTCACTACTCCGCTCACTCTTCCCTACAGTTACATGCATTTTCTGATGCTGATTGGACAGGGGACCCTACTGATCGCCGTTCTACTACAGGATTCTGCTTCTTCTTGGGTGACTCTCTTATTGCCTGGCTTAGCAAGAAGCAAACTCTTGTTGCTCGTTCTAGTACTGAGGCTGAGTATCGTGCTCTTACTGACACTACTTAGGAGCTTGTGTGGTTTCGCTGGCTTCTTTCTGATATGAGGGTTTCTCATTCTACTGCGATTAACCTCTATTGTGATAGTCAGAGTGCTATTCAGATTGCCCATAATGATGTCTTCCATGATCGCACAAAGCATATTGAGATTGATTGTCACTTCATACGATAGCATGTTACTAGTGGCACTGTTCGTCTTATCTTTGTTATCTCTACCAATCAGACAACCGACATTTTCACCGAGGCTCATCCTCTTGGTCGTTTCAGTGATCTAGTTTCCAAACTCAAGTTGGTAGATGCCTACCCACCTTGAGTTTGAGGGGGGACTTTTAATGTATATTATTAAATTATACTTATCTCTATTTCTATCTTTATCTCTATCTCTATCTCCTTGTATCTCTATCTTCTTCTATACTTATTAGGTTTTTTTTCAACTTATGTATATAGGTTTCTCCTATTGTATTCATTTATTCAATTCACTATACTACAGATACACAGTTTTCCTTTTTCTATTAACCATTCTAACAACAACATTGAGAGAGTCACCTTCAAAAACGCAGATGAAATGCCCAAATCGGTTGCCATAATTGTTGCCCAAAGAGCACCCAAAGCTTCCACATGATCAACATCGAGATGGGCTGAAAAAGTTTCAATACAAGAACCCAGAACATTGTCCCTAAAATCTCGAATCACAACACCTATACCGGCCTTTTCACCCTGTCCCAATGCTTTGTCAAAGTTGACTTTGAAACTGCCCTCCACTGGTGGCTTTTAAATTAGAGTGAAGTTAGGTGAAACAACAACTAACCTATCATGAATAGTGGTAAATTCCGAAATGAAATTGGATGCAAAATTGCTCACCTCATCAGCAGGATGAATGTGCCTACCAAAAACCATGTCATTTCGATTGGTCTATATACTCCATGCCACCACAGAAAGTAGTCTAAAAGCTTCACATGCATTCAATTCCGAAACAAACATGAACCAACCCGACAAATCGCCTTTTCATTTAATAAAGTGCCAGTCCACCAAGCTAGGAATAAGGTTTTACACATCAGCTGCAAATTGATAGTCTCAAAGACAATGAATGCCGACCACCGAGGGTGGTGGCCCAGTGGTGAAGGCATTGCCTTCCCACAACCATGAGTCAAGTTCGACTCCTGGGGGTGCGAAAAATCCCGAATTTTCCAGGGGCTCGTTTTGGCAACCTCGCGTTGTACTCCGATCGAAACTTGTCCATGACTGGGGCGGTCGATGAGCTCCACTGGTGCCTCGGTGGTGGGTCCCTTCCTATAGGTTGGGTTAAATCAGGCTGGCAACCGGTTATCCCGGGGCCTAGGCCTACGGATGTAGTGATGACACCTCAGAACATCCTTTTTTTGGTTCAAAAAAAAAAAAAAAAAAGACAATGAATGTCGGTTTTAACGGACCTATTACATTGACAAAAATTGAATTGGAAATTATATTTTGTTTCACAAGCACTGCTTTGACTGGGATAATTTCTTAATATGCTTGCCACAAAAAGTGTTTAATTTTATTTAAAATACACAGCCCCCAAACACATTTCTAGAAAGCCATAATAATCGAAGAATTGGACATTGAAGCAGAAGGTTGCATGAAACTCATCACCAATTGGTAAGCTGACTTGATTGAAAATTTTCCATTCTTGGCATAATTCCAAACTAGTTTATCGACCAGGAACCGAGGGCTTAATGGAATACGATGAATAAGCTCTGCCTCAAAAGGAAGAAAACACTGATGTATTATGCCATTGTTCCACTTACCACTATGCTGATTAATTAAGGAATCAACCCTAGCATCTGCCAAAATTTCATCTATAGGGCTAATCACACAGAAAGAAGGAGAGTTGGGCAGCCACTTGTCATGCCAAATACGAATGTTCCACCCACAACCTACTCTCCAGCGGGTACCCAACATCAAGAGATCCCGACTTTTCCAAATGTTGCGCCAAGAGTAAGATGGGTTCGAACCCAACTAAGCTTGAAGAAAAGAGTAATCGGGAATATATTTGGCTTTGAGAATCTGTCTAGCCGTTGATTAGGGATGTGTGATGAGCCATCACCCTTGTTTAGCCAATAGTGCGAGATTAAACGCCTTCAAATCACGAAATCCGATGCCTCCTTCAGGTTTACTGCGACACAACCCATCCCATGCCTTCCAATGAGTTTTCTTATTGTTCTCCGCACCTCCCCACCAATAGTTTGCCATGAGTCTTGCTATTTCCTCGCATGAAATATCCGGAAGTCTGAAGCTTGCGTATGTGGGAATAGCCTTGTGTATGTGGGAATAGCATGCGCCACTGATTTTAATAGAACTTCCTTTCCCACTTGAGATAAAAGTTGTTCTTTCCAACCCTGAATTCGCTTCCAAACCTAGTCTTTAGTGTTATTAAATACCTCCCTTTTTGATCGGCCAACAATTGTAGGAAACCCAAGATATTTACCATGATCATTAGTCTCAACAACACGAAGGATATTTAGAATCTCCAACTTATGAGTTAAATCGGTGTTCTTGCTAAACAAAACAACGAATTTCACAAAAAATTTTGTTGCCCCAACGCTCAGCCATAATTGTCCAAAATTCGTTTGAAATGCACTACTTCTGCTGTCGTTACTCAACTGAATAGGAGGTTATCATCGATGAAGAATAAACGTGAAATACTTGGACAACTCCTACTGATTCTTATGCCATGAATCTATCCATTGCTTTTCAACCTGTCAGAGAAGTGTCGAAAAGCCCTTAGCATACATGATAAATAGATAAAGTGAAAGAAGATAGCCCTGGCGTAAACCATAAGTGGGGGAAAAAATTTCTATAGAAGAACCATTAACCAAATTCTGGTAGGACACGGTGGTGACGCAGTGGTGACACAGTGGTGACATGATTTGTAATAAGAGATACCCATCGGTCAGTGAAACCTGTTAGCAGGTATTTTAATATTATATTGTGTTATAGGTTGTTTTTCTTTTCTTTTCTATCTAGTTTGCTTACCATACAAGTCTCCAAGACTTCCAAGATAAGTCTTCCTAGTCTTCCCCAAGTCTCCCCATTCTTATCCACTCCTAGTCTTCCAATATAAGCCATCCAAGTCCTTGTCAAGTCTTTTCCAAGTCTTTAGCCTTATCTTCTATATATATTGAGCTAATCTCTATGTTGGGTGATACGAGTGAAGGAGTTTTGTTGCTTTGTTATGACTTGTGTGAGATTATCAGGCAAATAAAAAAGGGTGTATGTGATAAAGCTTTGAGTTCAACCAATTGTGCAGTATTGGTTAACCATACGATTTAGTAGGGCTGTTGTATCCTGGGGGGACAAATCAAGGTTTTTTTCTGTTGCACCGGTGTGAGGTTTTACCTAGCCACAGAGGGCTTGAATCTCTTTAAAGAGAGCGAATTTCCCGCGGCTCAGCCCTTACAATAGTTTTTGTAATTTCTATTATTCTTATTTTCTAGTGTTTTATTTGTAATTATCACCAACAATTTTAAGGAGATTCAAATAGCAAAAGTTCATGGAGCCAGTACTAGAGAAACCCAACGAGAATACCGGCGATCTCAACAAGCCCTTCTGGTTCAAGGGAGCTCATTTCAAGAGATGGAAAGGCAAGGTGCTTTTCTACCTTAGTCTCCTCAAGGTGGCATATATCCTGACTGAGAAAAATCCAAACAAAGTCCCCACTGAAGAGATGACCGACGAGGAGTATGCTGCTCATCTTGAAAAAATCAAAAAATACAACACAGATGAGTATAAATGTCGATACTATCTTTTGAATTGTCTTTCAGATCAATTTTATGTTTATTATGATACTAGTTACACCACTGCTAAGAAAATTTAGAAGGCCTTGCAGAACAAATATGACACTGAAGAGGCAGGCTCTAAAAAATATGCTGCAAGCTATTTTTTCCGCTATCAGATGATAGATAGAAAATCAGTGGTGGAGCAAGTTCAAGATTTTCAGATGCTAGTGGCTGAAGTTAGATCCGAAGGCATCAAAATTGGAGACAATCTTGTTGTAGCAGGTATTATTGACAAACTTCCATCATCTTGGAGGGAGTTCCAGAAGTCGATGTGTCACAAGCAAAAAGAGACGTCCTTGGAGACTCTAATCACACGGATTCGGGTGGAGGAGGAAGCACGAGGACAAGATGCGCTTATGACACAAGAGCATTCCACTGCAAAGGTAAATTTAACTTCTGGAAATACTTTACCTAAAGGTCGATTTCATAAAAATAGTCACTTGAAGCCAGTTAAGAAAATTTGAAAATACTGGACGGCCACAAAATAAAAATTACCCGAGACAAAAGAAATGGAACCAAGAACCCCCTTCACAAGATCTGACAAATGTGACATGTTTTGTGTGTGGCAAAAGTGGGCATATTGCTCGAACTTGCAAATTTCGGAAACAACAGTCTCGACCACAGGCTAATGTTACCGAGGAACCATTTGTGGCTATGATCACAGATATTTTTATGGTTCAATCTGTAGAAGGGTGGTAGGCAGACTCTGGTGCCAATAGGCATGTCTGCTATGATAAAGATTGGTTCAAAGATTTCACTCCTTTTAATGAGGAGAGGACTGTTATGCTTGGTGACTCCAGTTTAACCAAGGTGCTCATTTTTTAGAGGAGGAAGCATTAGGTTTAGAAACATTGGCAAATGGGTCGGCGGGTGTTGGCTGGGTATTTGTGAGATTGGAACTGGACTTAGGAGGGGTGTTTCTAGTAAAGCGCCTCTTCTCATTATTTGGCCTTCATTTGTTTGTCAACCTGTGAGTAACCTCTGCTTGACCATTGGTGTGTTGAGCAGCGAAAGTTTCATTTACAAACCTTTCAACAATTGCAAGGACTTGCGATTTGTTCAAGCCTTTGGTCTTCAGAACTTCGACAACCCGTCAGAGACATGTACAAGGGTCAATAGTCACCCCAGACTCATTTTTGCTACTTGTTTCAGCCTTCTCACAGAGTCGGACGACTATATATGGGCAAGGCCTATT